AAAAAAACAAACCTTCAAAACAAGCAATATCAACAAAGGCCACTGATGCTCTCCTCTCAGCCAAAAGATATAACATATACTGTATGTCTTATTGATGGCACATAGAGGTGACAAAAGAAATGTTGTGATTAATCATTAATTAATCATTGAATTTCCGGGTTGCAAGCGAGAGCAGATGTCTTTACTGCTCCTCTTGTCTGTTCTACGATTTTTCACATCTTCTACATTTTCAAGTCTTTGAACAAATTCTACAACTATTAAAATGCCTCCAAGAGGGAAAAGAGCTAATAAATCAGAAGCAAACGAGGATGTTGAGGTGGAGGAGGATTATATTTCAGCGGCGCAAGTAGCTGAGATGTTGAATCAGCAGAAGCTGATGTACACCGCACTAATGTGCCAACAGCAAGAAAGCTTCCAAGGCTTTGTGAAACTAATTATGGAGACAAACAAGAAGACACTCGACGACACACGAGTTTGCAGTTCACCCAGCGAGAAGTAGACGCGATTAAAATGGACGTGGGGAGGCACGAAAAAAACTGCCAAAGACACTTTTCGGGACATCGACAAAACTCGAGAGAGTCTAATAACTATTGCGTGTAAAATGGAGCAATTGGAAGCGCAGTCCAAGCAAAAAAAACCTGATCTTCGAGGGAATCATGGAATCAGCTGGAGAAAGCTGGACGGAAGCGGAGCGTAAGGTGAAGGAGATCTTAAAGGACAAACTGCAAATTCATCAAGATATAGAGATGGAACGGGTTTACAGAGTTGGGAAATTGACCGAACGGGGTCCAAGGGGGATGATGGTTAAGCTGAAGAACGAGAAAGACAAGATAACCATTCTGCAACAAGCCAGGAAGCTGAAGGGAACCAAAATTTACATCAATGAAGATTTCCCCGAGGGTGTGAGGAAGAGAAGACAGGCGCTGATGCCGAGGTTAAGAGAGGCTAGGGCGAGAGGAGATATCGCATTTCTGCGATACGATAAACTGGTGACCAGACCTCGGAACCAGGACTTCAGACCAAGGAACAGCACGCCGAGACAAGGACAGTATGTTGGGGAGGCGGGACCCTCTCATGTCTGAAGCTTACTGTTATCTGCGATGGCAGATGAGCTGTGGATCCATCAACAACCAGCATGACTAATGGTCGATATGAGGCAAGTGATTTACTACAGAATTTAGCAGATTTTGAGGGACGGGATCTGGAACTGAACACAATTGGAGACAC